ATATAATATATTATATATTATATATAATGTATAATAGCATTGAATAGTTTATTTATTATTTAATATATTATATATTTTATATATATATTATAATGTAAGTCTGAAATAGATATCATATAACCTTTAATATATAATATAATATATATAACATACAATAATATGTCAACCTTCCAAACGCGAAGCCAGAGCTTCGCGTCTTCGCTTCGCTAGGCACGTTCGATTTATGGTCTGCTAGTGGAGACAGTCATCGTGAAGGCGCAGCAGTGGACTTTTTTAAGGAAGATAAAACCCGAGTACTTTTGGTGATCATCCAAATAGCTTGAACAATGCAGGTTCATCCTCACAAATATGATAATATGAATGTATGATATAAGTTGATATGATAATATGAATGTATAATATGAATGTAATATTTGGGATTATCCTCACAAATATGATAATATGAATGTATGATATAAGTTGACCCAGCAGTTGAGAATTTGAGAGAACATGATCAGTATTAGAACTGTTGATCATATATATTAATAGAATTTAATATGGTATGAGCTATGTTAAATTGTGTTGATCACAATTCACATAGTTAGAACATATCATAATATAGAACATAGAACATGATAAAACTATATTTTTTGATAGTTCATTGAATTGTGAAACTATGACGCCACATTTTTAACTGTGTTGAAGATAGTTCACGTTATAAGAATATATGTTGATCATATTTCAAATCATGAAACTCGGTTGATCTCATTCCAAATTATTCCAAAATTCTAAAAAAACTTTATCACATTTCACATCATCAAAAAAAAGAGGGTTTGATCATAGGTTCACTTTCATATTGCTATAATGTCTTTGCTTCGCTGTTGATCATATTAACGATGATATTAACGATCATATTAATATTAACCATGAACAACAGTTGATTCATCATACATCATATAGACATTATATCTGTTTGGTGGTTTGGAACATTTTTCAATATATTGGGAATAATATTCCCAACTGACGAACTCATATTTTTCAGAGGGGTAGGTATACCACCAACCAGATATGATTCCATATTATTTCCATACCAAGCGAAAATCTACAGGAAAACCCCATATTTCCTGTAGATGTTCCCTTAAACCAAGCCATTGATATAGACATATAGACTTCTAATTAGATGAAAACAAAATCTACATGGAAACCCATTATATATATATATATATATCAGTTACCAACCCATATCAACCTGTTGATCATTTGCCCATGGTGAAATCCTGGTGAACGTCCCCATCGATGTCGCGTCGAAAAAGGACGATGTCGCCACCTCGGCGGAGCGAGGGATTTGCGGAACGCTCTTCGTGCACAAGGCGTGAAGTTTGATGAGTTTTCTATGGATTTCATATGGATTCTCTATGGATTTTCTGGATGATGGATTTTTCCAGATTAGTTTTTGGTATATTATATGTTTAACTGTTCGTGATATCAATAAATCGGATATGAGTAAAGACATCCATGTGGTGACTTCCTTCAACATTCTTAGCCAATACATAGACGTAGAGTAACATTTGGCATCATTTGGCGGTGGTTGCCACAACCACACATGGTGGCTTTATTATTTTATTATGCAAACTTGGCTGTTTATTACCAAGATCTGGGCATCACCAACAAAGTACCGACGTCTGGAAGTGGTAGGAAACCCTGTTGAAAGATGCAAAGCAAATGCTTTGCATACGCCTATGGCTACAGATGCACTTCGCCTCTTAGCAAATACTCTGGTCGGGTGGTCATTGTCATGCACCTCTGGGGCTTGACGTGTGAGACATTGCTGGACGACAGGTAGCAGGCGCTATGTCCGAAGAGGGCAAGAGCCTCGCAGACATCAAAACTCAAGTGGCCGCTCGGAGTTCGTGCAGGGGAGGATTTGTTGCTGTTTTTTGCTGATCAACTTGGTTTCTATTTGAATATGCCATGAATACGCCCAGATGTTGATGAGAATTAACAGGTCGTGCCCCAACTCTTTGAGCTTAAGCCATTCGTCAGCATGAACCTCTATGATCACCTCTATGATCCTCTATCTCTAGGTCTATATATTCAACATATTTCGAGATCACTATGACCTTCAGATTCCAACACCGACATCCCACCTGCCATGAATCTTGGGCAGGAACAGGTCATCCGCGACTCCGTGAGCTTGGGCGTGTCCATGTCGGTGGTGCGACGCTTGAAGGCCGAATCCATTGGGCTCAAGAAGATGGAGGCGTGGCCTGATGCGGGTAACGTATGGGAACGTGGTACGGCTGAAATCCTTTCAGAAACCATGGAGAAAAACAAGTCACCTCCATGTTAGGATCCCGAAATGGCCATTTCATATGTTAGTTGAATGGTGTTCAAAACCCCTGCTGGTTGATTATAGAAGGTTATACTGCCCAATATACTGGGGATAATCATGATCCATGAGCGAAATTCTATAAACCAACCAGTATTCATGGAATGACGTTGCAAATTTTGAACGGTGCTCACCATGATTTTCCCACTTAATATCACCATTCTACCACCATTGTTGTTGGTTGAATCTTCATTTTTGGAGGTTACTGTAAATCTTCCATTTCTGGCTTTGGACTACTAACTATGATTCCATGTGATTTCCCAAAAACATCCCATTTTTAATGGTCCATTTCTGTTGGATTTCCCTTTATTTTTATGTTTAAATCATGTTAAATCCAGAATCCCCACCCTTTGTCGCTCGAGGTGGGTCTCGGAATCCACGGTGAGCCAGGGGCAAGGATCGGCAACCGGCTCGCCATGGCGGGACTGTCGTGTTGCAACCGACTCGCTATGGAAAGTGATGACCTGGAAATGATCTTAGGGCAAAAAGACTTTATTTTTTGGCATAGTGGTTAACCGATGCTTGCCCAGGCAAAACATCCATGTGGATTTTTTTATGACTGAAGCATCTCATAAGCTGTCGGGATCCAATCAGCCAACACTTGAATGTTGCGTGATTTAACCAACAAACGTGCTTCCCCAGTTTTAAGTTGGTTTATAAACCATAGCAACTATAGTTATATACCTTCATAAGCCCCTAGTTACTGGACTTTTGTTCACCAAGTTCGCGGTACCCGGGGCACCACCTTGCACTATATACAAATCGGGGACTGTAGTAGCTGCTCACCAGTCTTGATCATTTCTGTGAAATTCATTAGAGATAAGACAAATAACACTCATCCAAAAAGAGATTCCAATTGTTTCACATTGTTGTTTACATGTGCATTTTGTATTCAATTCTTCGGTCCTTCCATTAATAACCACGGATCACCATTATAATCACACTTTAACCATTCATCACCATTATTACCCCTTCACAGCCCCATTGCCATTTTAATCAATATCAACCATTGTCATGCATGATAAAATGGAAAAAAACACGTGTTAACCACTATAGTTACCACTAATCACTAGACTAATCACCTCTCAGCATTGTGAAGTATTACTAACCATAAATCAAATCCGGGATATACATCCCATTATTAAATATTATTAACCATTTATAGACTATCACTAGACTATCACTAGACTAATAACCACTACTATCCCATGTAAGTATATCCCATTTTTCTTGGGCTGTTTCACTGTTTCCCCATCCCCTCGAAGGGGCGCCTTGGTCCCAGGACGGAGGCCATGGCTTCGGCCAAGGCCATCGTGGAAATGCTGATGGAGGGCCTGGCGCAAGGGCGCAGCAGCAAAGGGCTGCCGGAGCCGACGGTCACGGGGCGAAAGGTGAGTTGCATGGGTGTAAATTGTCCCATCACTATGGAAAATCTATGGAACATTATCATTTTGAAGATGTTTGAAGAATCGATAGATGGGTTGTTTTCCATAGCTATGTTACGGCAACCAGAGGGTAGGAAATGGGTTAACAAACAAAAAGGTGGTGTATATATATATATATGGTATCTATCTATCTCTCTCTCTCTCTCTACATATATATATATATATATTCCATATGGGATTATATGCGTGATATATGGATTGTAAGGATTATGAACCACGGGTCCGATTCGTGGGACGCACGTCCAAGATTCATGCGGTTTGCAGATGAGAAGGTGCCTGTGTGAGACACCCGTGTTGGTTGATGATTAGTTTAAGGATTATGCTATAGATGATTGATTGACATATTCATAATGATGTGTTTTTTTGTTACAGTAATAGCTATGTTAGTTTACCAGATGGTATATGGTGGGGGGTTGTAAAAAGGTGGATTCCCAACCCACCATGGTTTTGAAGTCCATATCATGGTCTCATGACTTGGATGATTTAGGGAACCCAAATTTAGGAAACCTGCATATGATACATATGGTTGCATGATGTTGCATGTATGTTTTTTCGTCATCCTGAGTCATCCTGGAGTAGATAGATTATGGAATTTTCAATACATCATCACTAGAATGGAAGGTAACAATGTAGGTTTCGACGTGCCACTGTACTTGGTGCTTCACACCACTAACTGATTAGTAAGTGAGGTAACACGTATAGTTACCCAACTATAAAGCGATAAATGGGGATAAGGCTAAGTCCCCTTTTTCATGGGGACGTACCAAAAATATTCACCAGATTCGATGGGATGACCAATTAAAATGCGGGACACAAACAATAAGCAGGGAGTTGAAGATCAAGCGCAATCATGTAGTAGTTTCATCAATAATCCCTTCTTCCTATTGCTAAAACTCCCCCAAATAAATCCAAATAAAAAAGATAGGATTGGTGTGGCACTTCCGGTTTTTTATGGTTGGGCGCAATTAGATTCTTAATTGTGGTAATTGAGAATCAATAGGAGAACAGGATGGTGAAACACTGGGTTCAACACCCTGTTTAAAAAATAGATTGCCACCTGGATATTTTTTATTAGGGTCCCATCTCACAAGTTTTAGTTTTATTATTGAGGTTTTCATTGGATTATTAGGGGAAAGCTTCGAAATCCAGTTTTTGGCAATATTTTATGTAGATGTTTAAAAGGGATTTAATCAAATTTGAAATCGAGTTTTTTTTTAAAAAAATAGGGTTTTCATTGGAATATTAGGGGAAAGCTTCGAAATCCAGTTGTTTGGCAATATAATTGATTTTTAAAAAGGATTTAATCAAATTTGAAATCAAGTTGTTTTTTATATTAGGGTTTTTATTGGAAATATTAGGGGCACCCAAATACAAAATACTCCCTAATAAAAAAAAAATAGATCACCGTGTTTATCATTTGAAGGGTGTTTTACTAATAGGGAGAGAAGATTATTTTCTTTCAGAGTATAGGGGAAAAGCATTTACTTTCCCATATATTTGGGAATAATCATCCTAACTGACTTTCATATTTTTCAGAGGGGTAGGTCAACCACAAACAGCACAAATTCGCCAGGAATCTAAACATTGCCACATCCCTGGCCCTGGGGGTCGAATGCACTAACCGTCACCAACCTCAACATTTGAGATCCTATAGGAATTTCCAGGAACCGGAGGAATTTCCGGAGGAGAATCCCGGAGGTTTTCATGGTTTTAATATACACACCGGGGAGAATTAATCATTGGTTCAATAAAACATAATAAAACCACCAAAAAAATCCGGTAAATTAAAACATTAATGTATATTTGCCGTGTTTTAACCATCGGTTGAGAACCGAGGTTTTAATAATAAAGATCCCCACTCATTTCCAGCTGGGCGGAGCTCAGGATGGTCTCATTTGCATGATCAACAACTTAGGTACGCCGCTCAGACCGGTTGCCGGTGGAACGGAGGGTTTTTTTTCCCTCTGGTAAACTAACATAACTATGGAAAATCACCATTGTTAATGGGTAATCAACTATAAATGGCACTATTCAATAGCTATGTCAGTTTTTCAACTTTTCAGTGATTCGTGTTGGGTCTTCCCGTCTCCACTAAGAATTATGTAAAACAATACCTCGTGGTGCGGATGGCATGTTGACTGCGGTCGCCAACCCAGTAATTAACCATGCCCAACTTTGCCATTCGGGCTATACATAAAAAAAAAGTCTTGCTCTCCCATGGAGGAGTGCAGAGGGTCTACCGCATGATCCGGTGAATTCTCTCTCTCTTTTAATTGGTGAGAGTGTGAAACTCCCATTTCGTCCAGTCAATGGTTTGGATTTGGGCTGGATATTTTGGTTGGATTTAGCTCCCATTGTTTAGGTATTCTGGTGCACCCAACGCTAAACCACCCGTACCGCCGGAATCATCAGGCCACATTGTCCCAGTTATTATTTGTTTCCAAGTATAATCCCCTACCGTAAGTTTTTTTTACCATTTGTGAATCGCTTGAATCACCAGGTAGATGCTGATACATACATACATACATACGTATTATATATATATATGTTATATGTTTCTTTCATTTACTTATTTATTTCACTTTATATAATATATGCTAAATCCCCACATTCAAATCATTCAATGGCTGTTTCAGTCACGTGTTCTCCCCGTTTTGTGCCAGGCGGAGTGCCGCCGCAAGAGATGTGCATATTGGTGGCTGAGCTGATGAGAGCCTTGGTTGCCAGGGTACAAGGTGGTGCCCCATAGGTAGCTAAGTTGGTTTATAACTCCAATAACTATGCTTTATGGTAGATATCTATACTTCCTATGCTTTACAAACCAACTTATAACCACCTTGTAGGTGATAGATGTAGTTTCAATGAAAGGGCATGAGATGAAGATGAAGACGATGAAGACAATGATGATGATGATGATGGTGATGATGATGATGATGATGGTGATGGTGATGGTGATGATGATGATGATGATGATGATGATGATGAAGACATATGAAGACAATGATGATGATGATGATGGTGGTGGTGGTGGTGGTGATGATGATGATGATGGTGCTGGTGCTGGTGCTGGTGCTGCTGGTGCTGGTGCTGCTGCTGCTGCTGGTGGTGGTGGTGGTGCTGGTGGTGGTGGTGGTGAGGACGAAAAAACATGGAGAACTATGGTGTGCAGATGGTATCAGATCGCCATCTCCGTGTGTCGCTTGGATCTAAGGATCCAAGTGGGGAAGCTCTGTGAAGCTGCTGATTGGTCCTGCCTTTCTCTGCACATCCTTGGAGACCTGGCGATGTTTAGCCACAAGCCATCCCAGTGATGAGTTTTCATGTGAAAAACAATCGAAAACAACCACTGTGGCTATTTCCTGCCATGATATCTTGCCCAAACTCATTCTCATTTTGGGAGGTGGATTTGTTGCCCCTGTCGGCTCAAGTACAGCAGGTGTGAACCACTTGTTTTTTGAAGAAATTGCTCCGAAAACCACCAGTTTCAGTCAGTTTCATATTTGCAGTTCAGCTTGCGATGGTAGCGGCATGGGACGACCGATGCTTGGTCGTCAGAGCCGGAGTCATTTTTTTGTTGTAAGATTTGTAAGGATCTTCTTTTGCTGCTTGTTGCGGTCTTTTGAATCTGTGAGTGTTTTCCCATGTTTTCCCAAAAAGGTCTGTTCAATGCCATTGCTGGACTATGCTGGACTTGTCTTATTTCTATTTTGCCGACGTTGCCATAGTCACCACTTCAGCTGTGGAACCCTGACCCGCAATCCATATGGAAATGTCTCAAAATTTTAAATGTCTTAAAAGCATCTTAAAACTCCTTATATGTCCTGTTTACTTGAATCTTAACCGAAATAAAACTTAAAACTTCTTATATGTACTTGAATCTTAATCGAAAGTCGAAAGCCACTCGGATGTGTTGGCATATTTCGCAGTTCCCAACCATCCATCTCTGCTGCGAAAGGAGTCGAAGGATGGTTCAACCTGGTGAGCAATGGTGGCCTGTCACGGTCCGCTTGAGACTCTTGGCTCGGTTTCTGATTTCGATGGTGGGTTCGGATTTCAGGCAGAGGATGGGGGGATTTTCGTCCTGTCAAATTCTTTTGAAAAACATGTTTCAACCAGATCTTGGGGCGGGTAAGATATGGCAAGATTCCGGCCATACATCAAACAGTAGGAGATTTCAGCTGGCTCAGATATGGTGAAACGTGCAGTGGGCTTTCCATCATGTGTTTTTTCCTCCGGTAGGCTAGGCTATAGACCAACCCGCCAATGTTGGAATCTGGTCAGCAACAGCCTCTGAGCTTCATGTGACCAGGGCTTCTACGGTGTGAAGCCCTGAATAGATGGATGGTGATGGACATTTGTATCGAATCTTGACATGTGATTTACACCTGGTGGAATTGAGATATCATCCCAAACATGACCAACATGAAACTCGTACCTGAGTTGGTGCTTCAATCTTCAAAACCCGATAAATCAATGATGCCGATGGACGATCTGGTCGGCCATTATAATATAGTAGCACTATATGCCAGGGTCAAAAGTTGGCTCATTTAAGTTTATGTTACCATATTATATTGACATAAGGGTTCCCATTCTGGGAAGTAATACCGTACCACCTTAATCTACCTTATACCTTGTAAGCTGACCATGTCACATTCGAAATTTCTTGAGATTTCTGGCGCCAAAAATGAACCCTCTGGACATGGCAAGGTGCTGCTCCGAGAGCAACAGAAAGATCAGCAAATGTGGAAACACTTCCCCTGCACATTGCCAAATTTTGAAGCGTGCAAACGTGCAACTTTTTCAGCGCCAAGGTCCCATCATTTGTCGCAGCCAAGGACTTGGCAGTGGAACGTCCCGACAGCAGCCTGTTGCATCGCTCATGTCCCTGGGGAGGGCACTTGGTTCGACTAGATCTGCGCAACATCCGAGTGATGGGAGCACCTGAAATCGCTAGTCGCTGGGATCCGCTGGGGCTGTTTTGGTGGGGCGTGGGCTTCGGCTGGTTTGGAGTTTATAGAAATGCACATGGGAAAAACGCCTTGATTTTGTGGGTGAGATTAGTTGAGGTGACGGTGGGAAAACATGCTTTCACAGAAATTGGAGAAACTTGGCGATCTCATCGCTGGCCAAACCTCGGTAAGTGGTAGATCGTGATGGTGCCATTTGTGGAACACATTCGAGATCATGTCTTATCACTGTTGATTTTGGGATACCGTACTTTTCTTGGAATGTTTTGGAAGGGGAAAGGATGAAAAGGGAAATTATGTTCGTTCAGTAGACCTGGGTTCAGACCGCAAAAGCATCTGGGTCAATAAATGCTACATAATTAGGTCAATTATTCATGATTGGTTCATCGTTTCTGCTGTTCAATCCTTCGTGGTGCTAAACCCAGAAGTGACAGGGTCCGACCATCAAGATCATCAAGTCGTTGAGATTTCAGGGAAACTCTGCGGGCAACGCATGTTTTTCAATATTTTTTAATATTTTTTACAGCATTGCTTTACTGTAAATAGTTCTTTCCGAAATATCATTCATTGTGAGATTTGAACCCCCATAGTTTGGAATAAAGTCATATATAAAATATGGTAACATCCAATTTCCATCAATTTCCTGTCGTTTTTTCTCCGGTTTTTTTCCCATGGTTTTCGTGCTGGTAAATCTTCGTCGCCCAGGCAACGTGCTGGTGCGCCCGGAGGTTCGAAGTCGCTATTCTGGAGTGCTGGAGAAGGGCGTCTATCGTGATGTGATGTGCCTTGGTGCCAGGAGAGTTGTTTCGTAACATTTCGAAACGACGTCTCGAAATGGGACCTGAGGATTCGGTTGATAGATTCATTGCTTTATAGGTTAATTGAATTATTGAATTTAAGAGACTATGATAGACTATGATAGACTTGATTGATTGATTGGTTGATTGGATAGGTAGCTTGAACCCCTGGCATTTGTGCAAAGCCTTGATCCATTTTAGCATTTTGAGCCACAACTCCTAGGGGATCCGGTGAACCACTGACCTCGGAAACCTCGCCCTGCCCGCGTGTTTGGCGCCAGCATTCCACTGCTGTGTTGTCATCCTGCTGCAGAGTTTCTTTTGCAATCTGGTGAAAAAAGCATTACCATGCAGATTTATATGTGTGCAGTCGCAAGTTCAAATAGAAGTGTCACACCGGATTGGACATGCAGGTCCATGCAGGTATATATATTTTTTTTGCCCCACCCAACCCGGCCCTCTATGAGATGTTGGCGGCAATGAGTGAAAAACGTGGGCATAAATGAGGGAGCTGAAAAAACGTGCAGGACCACACAGTTCAAGTTAAACATACCCTTTGATGATAAGGGGAGAGGTATTTTGGCTGCATAGTAAACCTATGATAACACCTACGTCACCTATGTATCGTGTTAACGAACACTTTTGAACATATTTGAGCGTTGCCCAGGAAACCATGTTGACACGCAGATTTCTTAAGATTTCTTGCTGGTTCACTGCACTTACCAACTATCTAAAATGGGATACTGTAATGCCACTGACTGGGGACCTTGCTGAGGAGTAGCGAAATTTTGAAGACCTTCAATCCTGGGGATGCCTTGATCGAGCAGGCGCTGGTAGATAGCCCCCAATGGAATTGGATAGGAATCTGACTTGAATAGGAATATATATATATATGTGTGTGTGGTGTGTGTGAGAGAATAATTTATTATAATATACATATATAATCATATACATATATATATATATATCTGTGTGTGATGGCATGTGAAATGTAATGATGGATATTGAGATCATCATTAGGACCATAAGGGGATGGTAAACCTACGCGGGATCATGCAAACATATACGATACAGTACTGGAACATCCGCAAGTTGCACATCATTTCCGAACGGGAAACGGCCATGGATTTCCATGGCTAATACCCTTTACTGGAGGGTAACTCTCAATATCATGAAATATCCAGAGATTCTCTTCAGTAGTACCATTGAACATATTACTGTAAGATGTTTAGATTAATGTCAACTAGGATAATTTATCTATAATTTAAAAAACATATAGACGCATTAGGGATAACGTTTATGCTAATCTATCCATGTCCAATGCTTAATGGGGCGAATGAATTCAAGAACAAGGAATGGTGTGGAACGAGCCAAAAATGCGCAAGAAAAACGGTGGGGATGCTACATCAGAAATGATGGCACACATGCATGATGAAATTAATCAACACCGGGAAGGAAGCAACAAACCATGAACATATCAAGAGTCAAGAGCAGTTGTTTGTCTCCTATACTGTACCGTGCATGATCCTCGCCCCCCATGTCAGTTTGATATACTGTTAAAACATTAAGACATACTAAGACACCATACTCATCTGGGCACTTGTTTCAATAAACAATGTTGATCCCTTTCTGGGTTTACGACGTACCCCTGGAATCCCCTGGATGCAAAAGCACTCGCGTGTTGCCAGTTCTACACCATGCCGGCCTTACGTCTACCGGCGTTGCTTTTTGGTGACTTCTCAGGCCATGGCTGGGGATTTTCTGGACCCAGAATATCCCAAAATCATCCAGTCGTTAGTGGTCATTTTTAGGAGCCAACCCAGTGGTTTCCCAATGGTTTGGGCTTTGGCTCATTTTGTTGGAAGCACCGTCCTGGCAAAGAAATTTAGGTGGTTGTGACTGGCGTAGAGGTGAAGCCGACAAAGATTTTGAGGCTTTCAGAAGTCCCAGAAGTCTCACGAAAATGGCGCATGCTCACAACACAATAGTAATAATGTTGGATGCGGATTAGTGTAGGGGGGGGGGCCCAAACAATTTCAGGCTAAACTTTAAGGTCATGTTTTTTAGGGACCAGGTACTGAATAAAGTTGGATCAATTGGTTTCAATTAATTTCAATTGATTTCAATTTACTTTCAATTTACGCTTAATTGATTTAAGTTTACTTTCAATTAATTTCAAATTACTTTCAATTGATTTCAATTGATTTTCAATTGACTTCAATTGATTTTCAATTGATTTTGATTGATTTCAATTTAGTTTCAATTGATTTCAATTTGCTTTCAATTCATTTCATTGTACTTACAGTTGATTTCAACTGATTTTCAATTTATTTCGATTTATTTTCAATTGAGTTTCAGGCCTCCCATCACGGCAAGCTGCTTGATGAGGAGAAGGATTCTTTGAAACCAACAAGCTCCTGTGTGTGGAGAAAATCGCTTTGGAGCCTAAGGCTTGGATTGTTTTTTGGTTTCCCAATGGGAAAGTCCATTAATTCAGTAAGCAAATTGGTTACTGGGGGAATTCTATATGCAATGTGTTTGATTTTTTGGGTGGTTCTTTAAGCAACTCCTTCAAGGTGGTGATTCTCAGAGATGACCTGGCTGAGCTCAAGATGAAACTCAAGTGCTCTCAGGGGCAGTTTGTGGACCTACTGCAGAAGTACTACATTCAGCAGTTGTTCAGCCGGATCTGCAGCCTGGGCTGGATCAGCCTGCTGGGGAGCCTCCTCAAGATCAGGATGCCTTGCCCCCTTGGGTGATGCCCAGAATCAATAAATGAGCTTGCTGAGATCCACAAAAACTTGAGCTATCACCCAGGGAACGCTTGGGTTAGGGCTCTGATGGCAGCTCTTGAGGATGCTATGCAGGGTTGGCCCTCTGAGTCTGTCTCTCCTTCTCAGCTTGCCCAGCCTGCCAGGCCTGAGACACCTGATGCTACCCTCAGCAAGTTTCAAGAGATGGACAAGAAGCTCAATGCAGAGACTGGGGCTGAGGGGATGGAGGTGGCTGAGGACTCTCAAGTCTTGGACTCTCAGGCCTTGGATGATTCTCAGGTCTTGGGCTCTCAGCCTATGAGTGGTGATGATGAAGCAGCATCAGATCCACCCTCAACAGGAAGGCCAAGTTGTGTGGGATTGGTGCTCAGCTTGACCATATGACCATAATCTTAGCCCATCAGGCGGCACAGCTGGCCCACGCTCAACGCCACATTCAGGCAATGTTTTGTTTCTTTTTCTTTGAGGGGGGGCACGTAAAAGAAACCAAACGAAGTGTTTCCTGTTGCAGCTGCTCCAAAACAAGCACAAGCGAGGGCTTTCTGAAATCGGACGTGATGGATCCTGCTATTGGGCGGGAAGCTGTCTTAATAATCAGTTTTTGTAAAAGCGAATCTGCTTGCCCAACTTTGATGCAAGGCCCTCACCGAAAAGCAAGCAGTGCTTGAGGACGAAATGGCTGAGGCAGTAACTGGGTCCAGGGCCAAGACATCAATGCAAATAATGCAAGTGACAGTAGACACATGCAGTTGTAGTGGGTTGTCCGTGTATGCAGCGCCACGTTGCAACCTGTTTGGTAGGAAGTGCGCAACGATATGGCAGTTTTGCTGGCAAAACTGGAAGAGACATCTTCTGGGATTGAGGCAGGCTTTGTTTAGGCATGTTTAGGCAACGGTTCAGGCGACAGACGCCGGGCGGCCAATTCAACACTTGAAAACGCCAAGGCGTGCTTCGCGAAGCCGCTTCTGAGAACCGTGGTTGTGATCAGCTATAGAGATGGCTGTTCGATGGAACCCTTTGCCTGGTTTGATGCGTGGGTTCTTCGTAGCTCTTTGTGTATAAAATTTTGTGATGGGGTGTGAACTGTGCGCCCAGTGGCCATTCGCAGATGCTTGCCAGGAAGCCCCTGCAGTTGCCAATCAGAAACTTGTGGTTCTTGGCGAGGCACCATGCCTTGGCTGGCCGGTGGGCAAAACCATGCAAAGTCGATCAAAGTCATATCTTTATCATTCGTTTATTTTGCATAGGCTACTTGAAGCAAGCAATCACGTCTACCAATGTGGCATCTTGAAATCTGGAACCGTGCCGAACCCGTGACGGTTGCCAGCAGGCATAGCCATTGCGGTAGGTCAACTGGATCTGTGAAAGCAGGAAGGTCTTGCAGGGGGCCACGACCCCAAATTGAAATGCGAATTTGAAACATAAATATAGTTGCACGGTGTGACAAGGAAAGAGTAGCATGTTTGACTCCATCAACCTTGGAATGCAGCCGTGATTTTGGAATTTGGAAATGTTGTGAGTGATTGCAGCCCAGTACCACCCCCAACCCAACGGTGGGCCATGAATTATCAGATCTTTGGTGGCACTCATTTGGTGGGCTGATGCTCCACTCCCGCATAATGGAAAACTGGCTGAACATGTCATGTAACTTGGTTTGTTTTTTTTCCTGCAGTGTGGCCACTTGGTGTTGCCATGGGTTCTTCTCCAGGCATGGTGAGATAGAGCACCAACTGCACAAGCAAGTCCTTGTGGATGAGTCGGGGCCCGTATTTTCCAACTTTCGTGCGCGCATGGGTCTGGAGAAAGAGGGGTCAGTAGCTACCACTTTACCATCATTTCATGGCCCAAATTCAGTTCCCTGAGCATACCTCCGCGACCAGCGAAGGAATTTGTAGCGCTTCCAGCAACGACTTTCCTCGCAGCTCGGCAGCTCAGCGACATTTTGAAGCCATGATTGCAACTGCGACTTCCAGGTAGCAGGGCCCGAAACTGCGAAGCATGTAGAACGCGACGGCTGAAGTATGCCCAACTAGCCATTGCAAACCGGATATATTTTGTCAAGAAACAGACAACGGAATTTTATGCGGAGCTTCGGCTTTTGTGCTTGAACCAAATCAATCATACCCCAAATTGCCCTATACCGGTAAAATGTGTGAAAGTGAGAGCATCCAGAACGAATGTTGTGTTGGAATTTCAGGATGCCCATGATCGTTCTCACTGGGTTGCTATGCCGATCTCACGGGTTTGCTACAAAATTTCCCACTCTTGGCAGGAAAAAAAGCAAGCCTGCTGATACAGGCGTTGGACATGGATGGATGGGTAGGCGTGGTAAATCCCAGCCACTTCCCATCCATTCTGTTGAACCCACTCCCGATTGCCCAACTGCTGTTTATTGTTGGGCTTGCGCGCTGCCATCTTTCATTTGGATTGAGAATGTGGGTTAATTCGGTTAATTATTGGATTCCCCTTTCCCCAACTTCCAGCCCCAAGGACGCATCACCGCCTCCAACACTTTGCTGAATCATCTCATCGACGTGTCTTGGAGGGGTGAGACATGGCTGCGGCTGGGCAGACCGTGACAGAATCTTGGGCATTGTTGGAAAACGCAATGACAGACCGTGACTAACCGTGATAAGGTCAGCGGTTACACCCCGAAAATGGTCGGAAATTATGGGAAATCAGTGCATGCAAAATCATGGTCAGACCGCAAATAGCATAGTCGGATGCCCTGAGAGCGTGCATACCCAAATGCATGCAAATAGTCCATACTTTGGATCCTCAGGGGTTAATTAATTAACTAATTAATTAATTAATTAATTAGTTAATTAATTAATTAATTTCAAAAATGCTGAAAAACTGAAGCATGCTAAAAAATCATTGTAAACATGTTGAAAAAATGGAAAATGCTGAAACAATGAAAAAATGCCGCCAAAAACTTGACCCAATACCGTGCCACCCAAACAATTACACTGATATTTTGGGAAAACTTGCCACAATACAGTATCCTCACACTAATCGGGGTACAACATTACCCTCCGGTAATCAAACGTGGCAAGAGGAAATCCACTAGAAATGGAGGTGTCAATAGGAAAATCACCTATAAATAGCGTATTTTTCATTGCCATGTTTGATTGCCGGAGGGTAATTAGTGAAGGGTAACTATTCTTGAAAGTAATCAAGAGTGTGAGTCAAGCCACGTTTTTTGGATTTCTGGGTTACATCACCATTCGTTTTGGTCAATACATCTCGCCTTTGAACAGAAGGAATTTAAGATGTTTTGTCCTGACATGGGCTACACTGCTACACCCTAAAAGTTTGCAATGACACATTGGGGAACATCACAATAAAGGGGAGAAACCTGATAAACCATGATAAAACCGATATAAACCCAATGCAATTGGACACATTTTGGCCCGACATGGTACCTATTTCACTGGGACTTTGCCGTCCCAAAACGTGCCGCCGCAGTTCTTGAGAGTCTATACGGCCCGTCGTCTCGTGGATTCCTTGGACGCCAAAAGCTCCGAAGAGATTTCCCGGAGCAGGGCCATAGAAGCTTGGACGCCATTATCCTTTCACTTGGGGAAAAATGCCCCGTAAATAATGTGGTTTACTGAATAACCATAAGAAATAAAATGATATACACGCATACCGCATCTATACTGTATAAATATATATAAATATATATAAATATATTATATATGTATATTTATGTAATGTATTAATGTATTAATGTATGTATGTATGTACGTATGTATGTATGTATGTATGTATGTAATGTAATTTAATGTAATTTAATGTAATGTATGTATGTATGTACGTACGTACGTACGTATGTACGTATGTACGTATGTACGTATGTACGTATGTAGGTATGTAGGTATGTAGGTATGTAATGTAATTATGTATGTATGTATGTAGGTATGTATGTATGTAATGTAATTATGTATGTATGTATGTAATGTAATGTAATGTAATGTAATGTAATTATGTATGTATGCATGCATGTTTGTATGTATGTATGAATGTATCTATTTATTTATATATATATATTATATATATATAGATATATTTATTGATTTATTGATTTATTTATGTATATTCATATGTATATTTATACGCATATATGCATATGTCAAATCAGGGGGCTGCGGTGTTTCAATTTCACTGGAAACTATGGTAAGGCCATGTGTATTTAGGTGGTGATTTTTGAAGTAGTTGGCTGAACACATTGTATCCTCCGCGCGGTCAATGGCCATTACTGATGCCCAAAATTGCAACACGGTAAATTCATACATAAGGTATTCTAAGTTTTTTTCTAATTCTTGGGGGAGATTCCCGCATTCCGCGCCGCATTCCCTTACGCAGTCCTTACATTGCCTTACATAGACCTTACATAGGTTTGGTCATCATAGTCATCAATTTGATTCTCCAATTTAGTATCTTGAAATTTGCCCTGACTCTGGTACCTCAACTTGAGAGCGGGATGCTAGCATGTTCAATATGTAGATAATCTACGAGTGATGGATGTTCATGGATTCTCCACTGCCATGATTGCCTATTGAAGGATGAGGGCCTATGGTAATTTTGCAGTGGTCAGCCATGCAACGCACTGGGCAAATTTCATCATCACTTTGCACGTTGTTCCAGCTAGGCGGCCCATACAGATGGAGATGCCCAAAATGATAAAGCGGGTTGTTCATTATCCCTTAGCTTTTCTTAAAGCCTCGTAAACAATGCTTTTAAAGCTCCAAGAGACGCGGTGAACGTAGGGGGTACGAGTGGCTAATGGACGTGGTGACGAACGTAAGGCGAACGAGTGAACGGACGAGTGCACGTGTGAGCGAACGAGTGAACGGACGTGTGCGTACAAGTGGACGGACGTGTGCGCGTACGTGCGTGCGTTTGCACGTTCACTGGCCGCGTGCGCGCGCACGTACGAAAATAAGGTCGACTGGAGTCGACCTTATTTCTGTACGTGCAAAGCGCTACAATACTAAATCAATACTAAAGAGGCAGGGTCGTGCAAAAATAAGGTCGACTCAAGTCGACCTTATTTTCGTACGTGCCCGCGCGCGTGGCGAGTGACCGTGCAAACGCACGGACGTACGCTCACACGTTCGCTCGCACGTACGCTCACTCGTACATACATACGTTCGCACGTACGTTCACTCGCACGCATGTCGTTCACACACACGTTCATACCCCCGTTCATGTCACTCGTCACTACACGTACGCTAGATAACAAGAATATTTTTACGATACTTTAAAAAAAACTAAATTATCCCTTAATGATTTTGATCCATGTCCTGATGATGCGCCAAGTTGTTGTCTCCTTCCGCTGATTGGCTATGACAGTCATGATCAGGCTATATCAGGCTGTATCACAGAGGTTGTTGATCAGAGTCAAAACCTCAGCCATTCTTTGTGAACTCATTTTGATTGATGTCAGCGCTCTGTTCCTTGTCAAGCCCCAATGAATTCCCCAATGCACGATTTTAAGAGTGGCAATAAATTGAACGCCAAACTCGATGCCCATTTTTGGCGCGTTTTTTTGAATACCTGTTCGCCGCGATTAGCACAGGCACATATATCTTTGAAAATCGATTTGGAAGGGCCCAGGTGCAGCTGGCTGGTTGATGCTGGTTGGGATTGCCTGTTTATTTTATGTATCCATAGTTGTCCAGGTATGCCCTGGTTAAAGATCGGTGAATGGCTACTTTTGTTGCTTGAAATTGGGTCTATGTGGAATGCAGCTAAAGACTACCTAGGTTTCGCCGTGTCCATTATATCGTCCAGTCTGAAGCATGATCAAGCCGCCTATGACGGGTTTAGTTTCGCCAGCGCCAGGAATATCTCCTGACTGCTCGGAGAGAACATCAGAGTCAGAACATCTTCCATTTTGTATGCATCTTCAGCACGCCCGAAGACAAGTGGTATGAATCTCAGTGGCAGAGAGATTGTGAATCTCACCATGAAGTGGTGTTCATCAAGCTCATTCTTGTATCATTTTGTATAATCTTGTATCAAACATGTTCTCATCTTGACTTGTATCAAACATGTAACATGTTCAAATACGGGGTGTAAACGCGCCTACCTTGCAGTGGTGCAGTAGCCAGAGCAACATCATCCACAGTGCCCATGCAGAGACTCATGATTGCATCGCTTATCCAGGCCTACATTGGGATATTAGTACGAGGTATTTCACTCACACTTGGATCCTTTAGTGTGACTTCTAAACTTCCGAACATCAAACCTTTTTTGTAAGGTTTTAAGGTTATCATTCCCGTTCTTAGATGCTTAAATCCTCGTTAAATCCCCCATTTTTAGAATTTCGGGATCTGCATGGATCAGTTTTTTCAAGAATAAGTGTAATTCCCCTTATTTTAGATGGTTAAGTCATGTTAAATCACCATTAAACCCACCATTAAATCGCACAACTCGGGATCTGCTTTCCGTCGCCGAGGACTGGTTCTCCCCGTTTTTCTTCCTTCTGATGGATGAGGCGCATCGGGTGGTGCAAGGCTACATGAACCGCCCAGGAATCCAGGACAGAGATCAGCCAGGGACCAAAAATGAGGAATTTCATAACCAGCCAGGGATATAACCCCAAAAACAATGTGGGAATTCATGGGAATTTCCCAATGTTGACGGTTTTGTTTTTTTTTAATGGGGTTTCATGAGATTTAGTGGGGTTATGTGGGATTTTAATGGTATATATACATGGAATAGTCATCGGATATGCATAGGATTTGATGGGATGAATGACCCAAATGACCAACGGATGTCCACAATTGGTTTATAAACCACCAAAAGACGGTAAATTTAATAGGAATTATTCAACTTTGATGGGATAATCATTAAGAGAGAGAGAGAGAGATATATATATATATATGTATATAATGATATATATATATATATGTAATGATATTTAAATATATTACATATATATACACATATTATTGGATTTAATGGGATATCAGTGGGTTCAGGTATGTTTTTTGTTTGCTTATTTCAAATTGTGCTATGGCAGTCATGGCCCATTTCGTTCGATGACCGATGAAAAAGGGTGTTACCGCATAGCTATGTGAATTTGACAGATGGTATTATTGGGTCGGTGGGGGTACCCTCTGGTCATTTAACATAGCTATTGAAAATGACAATTTATAGTGGATTTACCCATTCATAGTTATGTTAGTTTACCAGAGGGTAAAACCATGTAAATCCAACAATGGTGAATATATCAATTCGTTAATATTCGTGGGATTTACTGGGATACATAGTCAACACTATGATATTTGGGTGTGTTTGAAGTATTTCTATTGGGAGAATGATGAAGAGTGGATAGAAAATTAGAGGTTCCCTCCCAGTTCCGGGGTTCAGTATTTTCTGACAAAGCCGCTTGGTCACGCCCAGTCCAGGAAAGCAAAACCAGTCACCAAATAGTTTCCACTTGCTGAATGGTTTTTGTATGTGAATGAACTTTCTTAGGGAAACTTGAGGTCGTATTCCTACAATTGTTGGTTCATATTCCATCATCACTCATCATGGTAATGATATTGAATCCTTATCATATGCATAGACATAGATGCATTCACACAGAAAATGATTGCCTTTGTTGGGCAGGTTTTCTTTTAACATTTCTCTTACCGATGCGATGCCGATGTCTAGTCAGATAGGTACCACACCAGCACGTAGCTGGCAGCAGGAGTTACGCCAAGCAGATGAACAATTCTACATTACCCTGGCTTTGCGCAACTTCAATCGTGGGCCTCCCTTGCTGCCATCGGATGAGCATCATGACCCAACTGCTGTGCATTGAAAAGTGGGGGCATGGCTGGGGGGTGAAGGCCAAAAACAGTATTTACATTAATAAGCTTTTAATAGTTTTTATACCATTCATGATAAACCACTTGGATGTTTTCTTCAGCACGGGACCCACGTATCCTACAATTGCATTCAACTGCGTTTGTGTTTGTGTTACGTAAAGTTGAGGTCATGAAAGTGCACCCCAGGGAAAGCCAGCATGCATTGAGGAGGTCGCAGAACCTGTTCTCGGTGCAAGGAAACATTAAGCACCCATACCTTTTGGTAATTTGACGGCAGAAAATTGGAAGATATCTTCTGTAGTAGATAAATCATCATGAATAATCTTTAATTTGGGCATGTTCTATACCAAAACGTCATCTATAATTTGGGCATTTTCTGTACCAAAAACACATTTTTCACAACCTTTTAGGGTATAGGGGTTGGAGATATCGGAGCCATGCTGAAGACAGCTACAGGTCGGTGATTATCCAGGATGGCCATGATCGCGGCCTGTCCTGCTGGATGCCTTTTGAGCCTCGAAAGAAGTTCTGCTTTGCCGAGTACCTGCGGCAATTTCTAGTGCCGTGGCAGCCATGGTCCTGGGTATTCCTGGGTTTTGCTCAAGACGATGAGTTGTTCTTTTACCATTGGAAATCCATCATTTGGGGTATCTCTCGGGTTTTTTTTCCTGTGTTTTTGGTGGCCCCTGGCCCCGCAAATCCATCGCCACAGTAAGGTGTCTACAGTTGCGTGGGTTTCATTGCCAGATTTCTGTCTGAGGGTAGCTCCTGCATGATCTTTGGCCACAAGAGATCAATAATCCCAATTTAGGGATCCTACATATGCTCCATTTATATACATGTGGGTGATGTTTGTGGTCAATGTTGGGAAATTTATGGACATATTTCATACATTGGAGCACATGTGAATCATGTCCTTAAAGGTCATATTACCATATTCTCGTCAGGAACGACTGGGCCATCAAGTGCCCATCTATGACACCTTGGATGGCAAGACGCTGGTGCCTTACCAATGCGTCATGGTCAGAGCCTTGATAATTTGTTGTTCATCCGTGGTGAAACCAACAAGAATGGGGAGGTAGGAGTTAACAAAGAAAAATAGTAGTAGAATGATATATAGTATATTCAGATATATTCAGATATATTCAGATGGTTATGGTGACTCTCTTATAAACTTGATCATGGCCTCACCGCGTCACTGGAATGATGCGATAAAATTGCCTCCCCAAATGGCCCAACTTTCGACCTCGGCTGACCTCACCAGAAGTGAGTTCCATTAGCAGACCCCAAACTTATATCTGAACAGTATATCAACCTGACAATAAATACAACAACAAATATTTTATTATATTTGTATAATATATATATATAATTTATATCTAAATTATATATCATATATCTATAATTCTATAGGCTATGTTACAGCTTCGAATTTTGACTTTGCCTCAGCCACACAAATGGGGATTTGAGGAGAGTCTTGGATGGAGCTCCGAAGAGACGTGCTGGCGGCGCTGAAGTTGCAAAAGATGCTGGATGTTTTAACCAGAAAGTTTTACCCCCTGGTAAATTAACATAGACCCTGAAAATCACCAATTTTTAATGGAAACTAATCTCCCAACCCCTATCTGCCAGGGTCTATGTTAATTTACCAGAGGGTAACCAGAAATTGTCCAGACGTTCTGTGGGTAAGACAATGCCATAAACTCATATAAACTCCATTTGCACCACCCCTTGATTGATGGTAACCATACCACGTTTTTGAACATGCTCATTATTTGGGGATGGTTTATGGCATTGTTTTTAATTTACATAATTTACTGATAAATGGCCATAAGTGTAGTGGATAGTTAAGTTTTAAAGTCCATGGATATAAGGATAGTAGATGGATGAAATCCTAGAGAATGTATATAGTGGAAACTAACAATCATATATAAATACAGTGGATGGTTGCACGCGAAATCTTTCTATCACCAGTTGATTTATCAGGGTTATCTGGTTATGTGATACTTAGGATAACTCAAAATGTTTCAACAATCCTTTTGCTGCAGGATTTGCTCTTCCATCCACAGTAGTGTTGGTTGAATGGATCGTGTTGGTTGAACTATACCTCTGTAGCGTTCCTATGACTTGTTTGTTGGTTGATTTGGTTGCCCAAACATGGTGTTCTGTTAGTTCGATCAATTTTTCAACATGGTTATATATATATATATATACCCAACTTGGTTATGACTAACAGTTCGCCATGGTATAGATGGCCCATAGAAAAAGATGATTTTCCCAGCTATAAACCTCCATTGATAAGAGATTTTCCATGGCTATCACTGACATTGTCATACTTAAATGTCGTTGATCATCTCGCCATTTTAAGGGTTAAATTCATTTCAATTCCATGTTTGGTGTCTGAAGATCCTATCCCACTTTGTGGTGAATGACTCTAGATAGTAAGTTCATGTAAGTTCCCTAAGTGGATTTTATATATTTTTTTGATTTGATATGATTTTATAACATAGTATCCGAATCCATACATGGGATAGAGCTGTGGTCACCACTTGGCGTAGGGTAAACTTACGCCACGTCAGGATGGCGTATCGCTTTCGGCACGGCGGCACCACTGCCCCAACCTTGGTGGAAGATGTTTGTCCCCGCAAGCTGCCGGCAATTTGAAAATGGGAACGAAGAAAACAAAGGGGATGACAAGGGCATATGATGTGGGTAAAACAATCATAAACCATCCTCAATTTCACCACAAATAGGTGGTATAAATAATAACAATAATGATAATAATCGATAATAATGGCCTAATATAGGGCACAGCCCGGGTATTTCAGAATGCGTGTGCTTATAACAAAACAATATAATAGTAAACCACGTGATGAAAACACACGTAATTTGGCATCACCATTTCAACGTGACAAGGCAAACACCATAAACACCATACACTAAATACCAAACATGTGTGTAAAGAAAGGTCCCCAAAATAGAAACAAATTCACTGGGTTTGCCACGTTATCAGGATCACGACTATTGCTGGCCCTCTGGACAATCAAAGGGCATGAATGACGTTGACATTGAGTGTAATGAAGAGCTACGAGACAGCTATGTGGTACAAAGCAAATCATGGGAAGGCCATTGTTTGATTTGAAGCAGCACATAGCCATTGAAAATCGATCGTGGCAACGGAATCCATAGAGCATCCCCCTTCCATCACCATAATTCACCATTTGTGATTGCCACGTTTGATTTTCCATGCCAGGTTTTACCCAAACGATTATCCCATTCCGATAATCCCGTTGATTCCCGTTGTATATACCATTATATCGCATCAGTTCTTGTTTGTTGGTTATATATCTCATTCCCAACCACTTATATCCCATTGATTTATATATACATCACTTGCCCATGAATCTGGAATAGATCCCATATATCCTCATTATAACCCCACGCAAGTATATTATCCGTTGATCTAATATGTCCCCATGATATATGATATCCCTCATCAACCCTCCAGAAGCGCAACAAAAACATGTTTTCCCCTATTGTTGATTAACATATCCCATGAGGTTATCAACAACAACTCTGGTATGTAATGTAACTGCAAATATATATATATACATATACATTTAAATATATACATATCCCATCAATACTTCAATCATACTTAATGTATATATTCATATATCCTATGAATACTCTTTTCATAGTCGTACCCCATGGGGTATACAGTATATATTTATATAATATAATTTTATATCCATATGAGCCACGTCCAAAAGCCAGTAGTTCATTTTCAGCAAGGGATTGGCAATAAGGACCTCGCGCAAGCAAAACCCTGGTGTAAGCAGCGCGTAAGCTGCCGCGTAAGCATTCCCTTAGCGCCTCCAGAAAGACAAGACCTTTTGGCCATGGCTTTATACGTACGTGTATGTATATATATATAATTATGTATGTATATATATATATATATATATATATACATATGACCTCGTAAAACTTGGCTTTGTAATTTTGATGATTAGGACCTACTATTACTTGATAGGGACCTACTTTTACTATCTTTTACTTGGACCTTGTGGGTGGCATGGTGTTTTCAACCAGCTTCGATCAATTTTTTGATTGGTTTTTGTCAGTATTTTGATGGCTCTGAGTTGTATTATGAAGTCATGTCTGGTGATTTATGATATATCATGTGTATATGATTGTATATGACAGCTTTACATGCGGGCAATTTTCCCCAATAATCCTGCAAGAAACAATTTAAATTTCAGGAGAAGTACTTCCCTTTACCTACCAAATATCCGATTTGTGGTTTATTATTGGGTACCGCGCACTATTTTATTATTGGGAATCCAGGGCCGGAACCACCACGAACGCATGGCATATGAACTGTCAGGGGCCCAATATTGCTAGCGTGAACCGAGCGTGAACCGAGCGTGAACCGAGCGTGAACGGACCCTCTAAAGACCTACTACTGGCAAAAGACCTCCTATTACCGTGAACCGAGCGTGAACCGAGCGTGAAACCTTAGGAAACATTTTTAAAGTTTGGAAACCGACGCGAAAAATCATAACATTTTTTGAGGGAAACCGCTACGAATTTGCTTTGCAAAAGCTCCGGAATGTCAGTCTTAGTGGCTTTTCATTGCAAATTGGAAAGGCCCATTAGGGGCTGTGATCTGAAGGTGATTGAAAAATGTTGCTTTCCAATGATGCAGCAACAGTTTCAAATGGGGGTTCAAGTCAAATTCAGCATTGAACCGATATAGTTTTCGGTCGTCATTTGTGGCTCTGAACCATAAAAAATTGGGGGCGCATGGGGGCGCAATGACAACCAATGTGGAAAAAACTTGGCGACGATGAACGTGAGGAGAAAATATGGCTGAGCTCTATCGAACCGAGGTAAACCAAAGATCCTCGTAAAACTTGGCCTTTAGCCAAAGACCTCGTTAAACTTGACCTTCGGACTTGCAGGATTAATAAATATATATATATATACACCCAGGGAGTCAAAGTCTAGTCAAAGTTTCGCCTTTACATGGAGGGGAAACTTTGCCGTGACAGGCCGAACTTTGGCATTTGCAGGATCATAGGCATCAGGCCCCTGAACGTTCAGTACATGGACGTATCTAATGCATATCTATCTATCTATCTGTCTGTTTGTTTGTCTGTCTGTCTGTCTGTCTATCTCTATCCTACACTGCCACGCTCTCTCATTTAATATACAATATACACTGTCTCCTGGTTCATCTTATACCAAGACGTTGGAGACCCCAGGCGTAACGCCCGAGAGAGCGACGTCTCCATCGGTGCCATCGCATGGATGCCATGGCGACGGAATCTGCGAGCGGCCTATTGTGGCGAAGGTGGAGCGAAGAAGAGGAAACCAGGGCCAGACCTGGGAATGTTTAAACACCAAAAAATGGTGATTTATGGGATTGTCCGTGGGGTTTTTAACCACCAAAGACTGGATAAATGGTGGATTTCATTGGATATGACTGGGGTGTAATGGTGGTTATTGGTCCAGTTATTAGTTCTTAAATGATTTGATTGGCTTTTGATGGGTTTATTGGTTTTTGGTTTCGATGTGGGTGGGGGCAGTGTTGTAAACCTGTTTTTTGTTTCGATATTTTACATTAAGAAAAAACAAACTGTAGATGATGTTGTTCACTATTGATATTGAGCAGCAATATTTTTGAGAGAGGTGCTCCCAGCGAGCAACGTCTGGAACGATATATCCCAGCGAATTCCCTGACAACCGTTCCAGTATTTTTAGAGGTGCGAGGCACAAGTCGGCAATTCAATCCAAGGCTTATATCGTTATACTCCATTATATCCCAGCATGTATAGTAATTATAGTATATAATACGCTGTAACAGTTAAGACATAATAAAATATAATATAACATACACTGCATATTCATGCATATGCCTCTAACAGGAAAACAATGCCCGACGTTAACCATGGGAACCCCCGGTTGCCAATCAGCTCGTTTCAGGTGGTGGTGCGCAACACCTTCTTAGAACTGGAAGATGATGTTTTTTGGTCGACGAATCACTCCGCCGTTTTTGTTTCCCGTGAGACCATGGAAGAAAGGGACAGGAAATAAATTGATCAAGTTACAGACATTAAGAGAGTGGGAGAGAGAGAGAGAGAGACAGAGACAGAAACAAAAAGCAAGTGCTAAATTAGGGTTTCTACGAGGTGGTTGTTAGGGAGAAGGCGTGATGAGTGATGAGATTTCAATGTAGGAATTACAAATTCAACCAATACAGTATTCAACCAATAAGTAGAAGCTGATCCTTTGTTCAGCATTCCACATCCTTCCACCAGACCTGCAGGTGACACTGTTAGATCTGAGAAATCCTTGCAGCTAAGCGTGAAGATCACACCTGGGCTATCAGTCTGAATTTAGGATGCCTTTTTTGGTTGGAAAGTTCCGGAGTCCGATTTCTGTGAGTGTGATCCGAAATGATACGACGACGTGACGACGTCAGGTTCCCTCCCAACTCATCGAGAATTTGCCTTCCAATTTGTCCTTAAAAAGGAGCAAAAGTGCCAGTGGCGAAACTTGGTGGAGATTTCTGGTGGATTGCTGAGGATCCCATCCCTGCTTGGTATTGTGTAATATTGCGTGTGTGTATACATATAAATAAACAAATAAATATATATATATATATATATACATATGTAGAAATAATTATGTATATATATATATATGTATGTATGTGTGTGTGTGCGCGTGTCATGATGCATAAAAAAACATCTAAATGCATTTGCACCTAAGAACCAAAATGAGCCTTGCTGTGGAGGATTTGACCTGTAAAATGAGGGTTTACGTTCCACGGGTCCATGTGTGGCAATGTGTATTTATATATAATTAGCATATACACATGCAAGCGCACATGTGAAAAAAATATAAGTATACATATATATATATATTATTTTGCATATTATATATATATAAATATTATACAACATAATATATAAATTATATATATATATATTATGCACGCAAACCTGAACTTGTGGCGGGTTGCACTTGTGTTTGATGCAGTCTCGACAGCTGTCACTACCTGCCAGCTGCGCCAGCTAGGACATCCTGAACTTGAGTGTACAGTGCTGCCCCCTGAAAGCACTATGTGTAGCATCGTTGGTGGAGGGCCGGTGCGTAGATGTATGTGCAGGGGTGTATTTCTAGTTGATTCGTACTGTGCTCAATACAGGGCTTAAGAACAAGTGCACAGTATACCACCCACGCCAGGTGTGTATATCATGTGTGTGTGGCAATGTGTGGCGAGATGTTTCAGTATGTTTCAACTGTTTCAATATATAATATAACTGTTGATGGTTTAATTGCTGTTTGATATTTCTCAATAGTGTTTTGCATGTTCGCATGCATGATTTTGCATGGCACATGGATTACACATGGATTACACATGGATTACACAGGTGAGAAAGGCTGGAATTTGGTTAGGGTGATTCGGTTCACGCACTATACTCGCAGGGAGATATCCTTTTAGAGTGGACCCACGACTGCCAACTCTGCCAGCTCCGCTCAGGCCACTTGCAACTGCCACAAGGCTGCCCCATGTTTCATGCCGCAAGTGTCCCTTTACGATGTGCTGCTGGTGGATCAACATGCAACTGTGAATGAGATAAAGCTGGCTTTCAAAAAGCGCGCGCTGCAAGTTCACCCAGACAAAGGAGGCAGCAAGGAGGCCTTCCATTTGGTCTACAAAGCCCTTGAGACCTTAGCTGACCCAGAGGCACGTCAGAAGTATGACAACGGTATGGCCAACAAATCAACTGATGTACTTCCAGAGAAGAGCACCAGATATAAGAAGACTTCGAAGACATGTGCCCATCCTACCACGCAGAAAGAAGCACGTCCAGAGAAAGGTCAAAAGCCCCGGAACAAACGAAGAGCTGATGGAAGCAATATGGAAACGAAACCACGAGAACCCCAAACGCCTCAGTCCAGGCAAACCAAGCTGTTAATCAAGATTCGCGATATTTTGAAGCAGTTACCCCGAGATGTGCGAAGTGATGTGATCACCAAGCAGTTCTCTCAGAAGCAGCGCCTGATTCTGGAGAACTGGATGGTTGACATGTCAGGGGCGGGTCGAGAGGAACCCTTAGCTGTGGAAGGTCAGGCAGCTGTTCAGACCCTCCATCCAACTCTGCCAGATGGGCGGCCTTGCGCGGTCGCATTGCCAGTTTCAAGCGCCAGCTGCCCGAAAGAGTCGAAGAAGCGGTCCGCCAAGCCAAAGAGAAATACGAAGAAAGAGCTCAGAACAAAGCGAAGCACGGGTGGCTTCCTCATAAAGAAAAGTGGGTCTTCTTACACTGCAGGAATTTGCTTTGATGCAATTTTGATACACACCAAAAGCTGTGACTTCAAGACTGGTCTCGAGTACTTGGTCGTCCTGACTGCTGTGAAGCAGAAGATGCGAGATCCCCAAAGAATGGATGTCTCCTTTGAGGAACGTCTTCAAGACGCATTGGTTCTATCAGCAGAAGAACATGGGGAGGATCTAGCAGAGCTTAAACTTCGATTTTTAGTGATCCAAGCAGCTGGATTCTTCATTGGAGCACAATTGCAAACCCCAGAGGTAAGGAGTGTGGAGCAACTTGGGAAAATGCGCAGACTATTGGCTCCTTTTCGCCAATATGCAAATATCCCCGGCAGGGTCAACTATTTTTGGCAGTACAGCCCAGTCAATCTCCAACATGCGTGGGAGCGGTTTCAGAAAGCAGTTGCTGAAGCGTGGAAACTTGGAGGGAGAGACAGCAGTGGTGTTTTGCAGATGATGCATGTTCGTCACCAGGCTAGAACTGATTTCCGAGATGCCAAGTTGCAACAGTGGGAACGAGGTCACATGGCGATGCAAGACAAGAACAAACACAGGCCCTTTCATTTGCGAAAAAGGAATGGAGCTGCAGCCCTAGAGCATTGGGAACGGCGACAGATGGCCTTGCAAGACAAGAATCAACATAGGCCCAGGAAATTGCAAGTTCATTTGTGTTTGAGACGCTCCTCTGAAACTCGTTCCCGCAAATTGTTGGCATTGAAACGGCTTCTAGTTACATGGGACCGCATCCTGAAAAGAGAAGCACAGCTACTCGAGAAAAAACAGCGGCGAGTCCTGAAACAGAGGAAGGTGCAATGGAAGAAGGACCGAGAGGAACAAAGACGACAGGAAGCCCTGCACCGGAAGCGTATGCGAGAAGAGGAACGCTTCAGAAGAGAAGCTGTTCGCAAGAGAATGAGATCCGATCTCACCATGGACGAAATTCTCGGCGAACGCCGTGAACGCCGTGTCTGATTAGGAGAAAAGGAGAGGGTGTTGGGGTGTGGATCCTATGGCCAACAACACATAACCATAGGAACGGGAGAATCGGGAGAGAATGCCATCAAAGTCTTTGAAAAGAACGGATTGTACATAGTATAGTTGCCATCTTTGTAGGTTGGTTTAATTTTTGCTTTCCATAGCGAGGTTCAAAATTCACAATAGGATCTTGGGATATTGTCAGAGTACCCACGAAACAGGTGTAGCAAAAAGTCACATGATGTCACATGCCTATTCAATCTTATGCTGATCAATTTTAGTTTCTATTCTGAGGGTCTAGGGATGTTGGCATTGATGGGGGTTATGCACCAAGATTGTTTTTTTTCAAGGGAGAAATCTGGAGAGGAATTATCTTGGAATGTACCAATATCATCCAATATCGTCATTTAAGCCAGTAGTGGCTTGACAGTTCAGGTGCTTTGATGTATCTCTTGCACCTTCCATGCTTAGTTTGGAAATTGGTTTACAGCTTTGCGAGGCCTGCGATATCCTGCATCCACCAATCCGACCAATGTTCTATTTTACTTGTCAACACATTTACTGCAATACTGCAGTTATAGGATATTGATGTTTGCCCCCTTCACCATATTTGTTTCGCCAGATATTGTCAGCTATAGTGGTTCTTGCTTCTCAATGAATGGGATCCTGATTTTCAAGAATTGGATCATTTCAAATTTGTCGTTGCTTCCCTTCATTATATAACGGGAAGACTGACACAAAGATGTGTTGGTTGCTATTTAGAGTCCATGCATGTCCATGCTGGTGATTCCTAAACAGAACAACAGCAAACATACTTTTGAAACAGAAACAAGGTAAACAAACAAGCACTATCCCATCCCTCAGTGCCCCAAGCTCTCCTTCTCAATCAGTCACCGGTGTACGGCCTGCAGTGCAGGTAAAGATTCAGTCTGAGCTGCCCGCGGCTCACTTCCATTCGGATCGCAAAAAGGGACCTGGAGTAAACCAGCTCCGAGCGGCTCTGAAGAAAAGGTGATTTGACGTTTGAACCTCTCTGGCAGTCTAAACATGAATTTCATAATCTTGATGATGTGTACCACTAGCAAGATATAGCTGCTTTGGTTTGGCATCTTTCAAAGAATATTTGAATGATCTTGAGTCTTCCAGCCTTGCCTGGAGAGCTGCCGTACAGTCTGTACAGTCGCCCAGCGTGGTTCCTTGGGCCATTCCTCCAGCGTAGGATGACAAAGCCTTGGAGGAGTGAAGCTTCATGCTGAGCTGTCTTTATTGCATGTTTTCTGTGGCAGTTTTATTCCGTGGAAAAGAAATGACTGGGGGGCGTGCATGTCACCTAAGATCAATGTGTCGGTAGTTTCAAACCTATTTTTTTTGGTAGTGTCCAGTTCACCTTTTGCAGTGTCGAAATGTCAATGTGAAAAACATCATATCATAATAGGATATAATAGGCTAATACTGGTGGCTTGAAATCAATTGAAATAAACGTAGAATTCGCCCAGAATTCCCAGAGTTTTTCCCCAATCATCCACTGATCCAACTAAATCAGTGTCCATCATCCCTATCATCCCCTGTTTTACTTTAGATGTATGTTCATAAGAGCAAACAACAACCCGTCTATCATCCCACTATATCATAATATAAATATATCATGATATATTGTAATATATCCCAACATAAAAATATATCCAGCTATATCATATATATATATATATATATATATACATATGTGTATGTATGTATGCATATATATATATATGTATGTATATATATATATACATTATATATCACAATAGATCATAATATATCCAAATCATCCATCCAGTTCTCAGGACATGAACGGCATCTCCCTGAGTTTGCTGCCCTACAGCAGCCAGCTGGCCCCTTGGATTCAGGCGCCCGTGGCGTGCAGCGCCTGGCCCAAGGCGGTGGCTCCGCAGTTCCCGGAGCCGGCACCGGTGAAGGTGAAGGTCCGGCGAAGGGCTGGGCTGGGAAAAGGTTTGTACGATTAATCTGGTTGGTGGTTTCAACCATGTTTTATTTTCCATAATATATGGGATAATCCTTCCCATTGACGAACTCATATTTTTCAAGGTGGTTAAAACCACCAACCAGATATGAAAAACCAGCATGCCAGAGCTTTGCCACTTGAAGTGTTCCTGCTGTAAACTGTCTGATTGGACGCGTATTCCGAGATATTCCGAGTTTGTTCGGGGCTTGTACAATACGAGAACACCGCATGCCAGAGATCTAGCAGCCAACGTCAGGGGGTTTAGAGGTTGAAAGGCCGAAGGTCAGCAAGACATGTGGATACAACAGTTAATACAACATGTGGTTTTATTTGGATCTTTGATGATCTATGATGATTTATGGTAATTTATGATAATTTGTGATTTTACCAACTTACCAAGAGTTTGGTGTTGGGAGGCGGTTTCGCCCAAGAGAAAAGCGGATGTTTGCCGGTAGAAATTCAGATTTTTGAGCTACACGAATCGCAATTTAGGAGTGAACGAGGGAAACTTAACCAACATAAACTAATATAAAATAATATAAACTACTGGTATGCTTAAACCAGCAAGCAGGTTAGCACAAACAGGGGGTTTAACTAATTTTAAAAGGAATTTGATTGAGGAGAAAAACTCCTGCATGGATGAAGATAATGTTTTGCCCACCAGGACCAGGACACCCACATGTTTTACCACTAGTCGTACCATTCAAAAACATTGGTTTCCTGGACACGCAGGAACACTGCCAGATGATTTATAATATTTTATAATTCATAAGTTATAAGCATGTTTAAGCGGCAACTGTTTCTTTGTTTGAAGCCAGACCAGTTGGAGATTTCAGGCAACATGATGATACTCCACTCAACATGATACAGGAATATTCCACTCCTTGTGAGCATCCCCAGACCTCAGTTTTGTGATCACCAATTTGGGACTGGCATCATAGGCAGCGATATCCAAGCCAGGATCTAATCTAAACGGTGTTGCTGTCTTCGAAATATGTGGAGATTCCTTGGTCCATGTGTGCCATGCGTTTGTCTATATATATATATATATATCATATATTATATTTGACATGGTATGATCCATTCTGGTAGATGTTCCCGGAGGAAACAAAAACAGTCTTTCTGGCCATTTGACATTGGCACCAATTCTTGTATCTATCGCCTTCGCCGCGCCAGGACTGCTTCGAGGGAGTGTCACCCTCCAGCGATGAAAACGTCAAAGCGATTCTAGAAAAGGCTTGCAAGGCTCTCGTTGAAGCCAAGGCGGAGCATCTCGCTTTAGTGTTTAACGGGATAGGTTGCTAGGTCTTACCGTTTTGCCAGCAATCATGGCGAACCATTTTATGGTCAATCAATGGTTAATCATGTGGGTACCATGAATATTGGATGACTCATGGATAATCAACCACTGGTTGGTTGATGATAAAAGGGTAAGCTGTTTTTCCAAAAGGACACTATTGATTGGGACCATTTTGGACCGGTCTTAGGTGTTTGTTGTGTTAAAAAATAGTTGACGATTCAGGGTGTTTTTTTTGGAGGTGGTTCAGGGTGAGATTAAGCAATATTTGATCACTCGTATAGTATTTTTTGTCAGCCCTGCTGGCTGACAACAAAGAAGTAGTACTGTAGGGGTGTTAGCCCACCAAAGTGGTTTCATTCCATCTAAACCGTTCCATATGAATATCTTACAACATATTTGGTGAATACCTGACATAGTCATCAAATCATCAAAGCTAAAAGTTGATAAATCCCAGGTTCAGATTTCCCAAAATGGGGATACCCCTAAACCATCATCAATCATCTTATAGATGGAATTTCCATTATAAACCATCCAGCTATTGGGGGACCCCATTGATGGAAACCCCCATATGCTCCAAACAATCGCACATTACTAGCCGCCATGGCCCCCTGGGCTCGTTCGTTTTTTTTGTGGAGATCCCCTGGGAGTGTCCAAGGCTAGATCGCTTGGACAGCAAGGTGGGGGATGCAGATTGCGGCTCCACCATGGCCAAGGCGCAGAACATCATGGGTTTCAATCGGGATAGAGCTTAGTAATCCCCATTATTACCATCAATTACCAATAGTGATTAATAGTCATTAATGGTGTTTAATGGTGTTTAATGGTGATTATATAATAGTGATTACTGTAATAGAATAGTGATTAATGTGGGTAGTTAAAACAATAAACTACCCATGACTGGGAATTGTTATTTATACCACATATATAAATGGTGATGACCGGGAGATGTTTTTTTGTTTTATTGTTTCACCCACATTATTATCATTGAATTTCTTTGATACGTAACATGTATCCATAAAATTCCATGCATCTATTGAAAGTTACAAGATCTAAAATATAATTAATGATGTCTCATGAGTAGTATCTCAATCAGACAATGTTGGGGCGCAATGGTCAAAAAATCGATGTTATCGTAATGAGTAATGAATATTCAGCATTATCCAATAAATCAATATTATCCAACAGTTACTATATCAACATCATGACTGTAATCTATATGCCAATGAACATGCAATGAAACCTCGGTAACCCAAAAGAAATGCTGCCTGCATTCCCTACGTTCGCCTACGACCGATCCCGCATATCCTTTTTCATGCTCAAATCCCTGCACAGGGTATATAGCATTTTTCATGCTCCAAAACAATAGACCTCAAAACCCTGAAACCTGAAACCCGTAAATGCTAAAACCCTAAAAACCTAAATCCTGTAACCTAAAGTCAAAATTGCTTCCCAGCCACTGTTTTCCTTCATCCTAAGATGACTGGCATGTGGTATTTTCATGTATTTTCTGGGTGTGTTGATTGGATGTGGGCGAACGTGGGGGTTGGCGCCAACATCTTTATTTTTTTAAATTATGACCCAACTTGATGCAATAGAACCATCCAGCCAACTGGCGACTTCTTGTTGTTTGTTGTGCATGAATCCCTTTGTGTTTGATATATAATATGTCTTACTTGTTCATTGACATGCCAGTGTTTTGTGGAATGTTCCATGCACACATCTGTGTTTGGAAAAACTGTTGCAATGGACGTGTCAATGCAAATTGCTTGTGGATTTAAAGTTCCAACGCTGGATAGAATCTATATCATGCCTGCTTTATCTCACTCCTATTCATGCTGAATAGATAGTTTACCACGGTGACGATTGCATTTCCTGTTCCCTGGATATATAAGATGATACAAGATTCCCCATGTCTCAACACAGATCAAATATCATCAAATATCAAATCGCATATCAAATTCCATTTTTTTTTCGTCAAACTACGGGATCCCTTCGAGGCAGCCAGCAGCATTCTGGAGAAGCAGGAGCAGCTCCCTATGGCAGACCCTAAGGTCGCTGGGATGCTGATGCTGTGGTAATTCACGTTGTTATAGCTAGGTAAATCATGGTAGATCACTGCTGGCCATTTTCAATAGCAAAGTTAGCAGTGTTAGTTTAGTGGAGGCTATCCCACCCATGAATAGTGGTTGATTGGACAACCGATGGTAGATATCTCTACGATAAATACCTTATATATTGAAATTAATTCGTGGCAATGGACAAGTCCCTGTACATTGGGATCTGAGTGGGAAAAAAACATCCATAAAATTGGGGGTTTTCCCTTGCCTTATTTGATTACCGGAGGGTATTGGGGTTCTGCTAAGCTAGTGAAAAGGGATCAATCAAGAACCCACTATTGGAATAGCTGTAAACAAACCAGTAGAAACGCAACCAGGTGTTTGGTGAGGCCCTCGCTTTAGAACGAGGAGCGGACCATCGCTTTAGAAAGCGTTCTCAACCATCGCTTTGGAACGCGGAAGATGATCCTACTTCCAGTACTTCATCCGGACAAAATATTTTACATATTTTACTTCAAGCAGATCATCTACATCAACTTCATCTACATCACATACATCACCGCATTTCTAC